ATTCCGCCAGTTAGTGCCCATTGCTTGGGCATTGTATGTGCGCGTCTTTTCGGGTGTGCCCCAAACATATTTCCGTAGCCTTGATTTTGGCAAATGTATTCAATTAAAAAAAATGCGGAAAAGTAAAGAAAACCAGATGAGCTTTTACCAGCTCATATGAATTATACTGTAACATGGACTGAAAATAAAATACTAGAAAATGTACCTTTTGTCAAAAATACTGTATCGGAATGGAGCTGTCTTTTGATTTGTTGGAGATGACATGTTCTGAAATGATCAGTTTTTCTTAAACAAATCATAGCGACGAAACGATTCGTTTACTTTTAGTGACCGAAGCGGCAGTGGATTCTTGGACAAATGTTGCGAGAAACAATCACTGCGATAAACGATAAAGCCATAAATGATAAATATCACAGGACATGCAGTCTCAAATGATTAATTCGTTGTTGCTGATAAAAAAAAAACACGTTAAAGAAGAGAACAGCGCTACTGATAAACGACAGTGCAGAAAAGTGAAGTCAAAAACGCCTCCACATTTAGTTTTCCATGAAGCAGGAGAACAGAAGAATACTCCGAAAGATAAAACATATGCCAATGCATTCACTCGCTGGACTGCACTCAACAGCCCTCGTTTCGAGAATTGCTCAGATGCAAGATAATGAGTAATTTTGACTTTCTGGAATGTGCCAATGTCAGGAACAGTTGTGTTCGTGATAGAAAATGAGAAAAGCAATATTTACGATAAGTCTACGCTTCAACAGGAACCAAAAAAACCCTCCCCTACCCTCCAGGAATGTACATAACAAAAAATGATGATTAATTTAGAAACAGATGACGAACGGTTGATGAATTCAGTCTTCAACGCGAAACATATGTAGCAATCTCAGCGCAGATCAGAAACACTCCAGTCCTGTACTGGATTGAGGGTGCGCAATAATTTGCCGCACATCACCACGTAGGCCTTGCTGCTCTCAGCAAGTAATTCACGTCACAATTGCGAATCCCGAACAAGGATGTTACAAAAGTTAGTTATAACGCGTTGAGGAATGACGCTCTACAGTATCAGTATAAAGAGAACGAACAGAACAGATAAAATCTATAACTTCATGTCTATTCTGTGAAACACAGATGTGAGATATTTCAGTTCCTGCGGGTGAAATACAGAAACTAAAATGTTTCACAATTGTGACTCAGCATAAAGTAAATAGATTTTATCAAGCAACCATTACAGACTTAGATTCCCACATTTGATAATGTATCCCATCATGATGTTGAAGTGGAGCACTGCCGACAAAAATAGTGTTGCTCGACACATATCAAGGACATCTCGAAATCGCAAAAACCCCGCCAACTGCTTCGGTGA